GGGGCGGGGACAGGGCGGGCTCCCCACCCAACACTTCTCACCTCCTACCTCTCGTTTCCAGATGTACAGATCGGGAAGGCAGCATTTCCTGCGGCCCTGTGGGAAGGACAAGAGACAGGGCCCCTCCCAGTGCTTGGAATGCCCTGCTGACTCTCCTGCCTCCAAAGAGCTTGTGTGGGGCTGCCCAGCCTGCCAGAAGCCGCCCCAGCCCTGCCCCAGGACAAGACCGCCCAGGATACCGGCTGGAAGCCAGAGGGTCCCCGGCAGCACCACGCAGAACTCTGAGGTCCCCCGGCCACGTTGTGACTTGTGCCGATCACCCTTCCTGGTGGGGATGCGGCAGCCCCAAGCTGAGGCCTGGTAGGCAGGTGGGCTGGGGGGGCCTGTCTAGGAGCACCATATCCCTGGGCTGAGGACAATAAAGGCAGCCAGTGGTTCTGTAGCTGGTACCCAGCTCCACAGTGGGCCAGACCCAGCGCTCTGGCTCACAGGTGGGGGGTGGGCAGCAGACCTGGACTCCATGTGGGCCTTAGTTCTCCCACCTGTGACGATTTGGTCCCATCCTCAGGTGTCCAGAGGGTCCCATGAGGAATTCCACAAAGGAGACAAAGAGATGGGGGAGAACTACTCCCACCTGCCTGGAAAAAGACCTTGCCAGTCATTCTTTTTGAGCTTAGGGAGAACTCCTATTCATCCAGCAAAGCTGCTGCTCAGGGCTCCCCTGTCCATAATGCCTTCAGCCTGGGGCCCCTAAGGGCTATGCTCTCTGCCTCACCACACTCACACCACTATTTTGGGGGTGTTTCCTAAGGAACCCCAGGCTGTAGTGTACGGGTCTGGAGCTTTCTGCAGCCTGAGGCTCCCTGTGCAAATTCTGCCTCTCCCCCATCAGCCTCTTGTGGAATCATTGATGAACCTGGTCCCCCATCCCAGGAAGCCTATTCTGGCACTCAGGCCTCCGTTCTGGCCATCTGAGATCCATCGTGGGTACCTGAGTCCCACTGGGGCACCTGACCCTCATCCCAGGCACCCCAGTCCCATGGGGGGTACCTCAGCCCCCATCCTGATCACCTCAGCCCCATCCCCAGAACTTGAACCCCTTTCAGGCACCATAATCTCCTTGGGGCAATCGACCCCCACCCTGGGCACCTAACCCCTTTCCCACCTGAGCCCCATTCTTGGCACCCGGCCCCCCCTGGGGTACCTGACTGCCCATCCTGGCCACCTGCAATCCATCCTGTGTACCTGAATCCCACTGGGGCAACTGACCCCCATCCTGGGCACCTGACCTCCTTTCCCACCTGAGCCCCATCCCGGGCACCTGCATCCCATTGGGGTGCCTCAATCCCCATCCTGGCCATCTGAGATCCATACTGGACACCTGAGTCCCATCGGGGTACCTCAGAAGTCACCATCCCTGGTGAGGGGCTTGATGAGTTCCTCTGTGGGCCTTGTTTCTAGGCGGAGTCCAGCTCTGGCCTGTTCCCCGCCCGCACCCTGTCATTGTGGTCCTGGAGAGTGGGAGAGGTGGGGCTGGCCTGTGGCTGCCCACAGCCTGAGGTCTCCCGGGCCGCTGGCCGGAGGCACCGAGGCCGTGTCGTTAGCAGGAGCTGTCATTAGGAGGAGCTGCCTGCCGCCAGGTGGCAGCCTTGTGCTGCTCGGCCTCTACCATGCTGGCTTGTGGTCTCGGGGTGGCCTGAGGCAAACCGTTGTACAGGTGCGGAAGTACTTCGAAGTCGGGGGGCCCTGTTTCGCACACCTTCTCGACCCCACCTTGTTGCCATGGCCACCATGGGATGGTCCCAGCCTGCTGCCCACTCAAGACCCATCAGCCCCTGCGGCCCGTCTACCTTGCCGTCCTGCTGATCCTCCTGGCCCGGCCTGAGCCTGGGTTCCTGTGGAAGAGCTGTCATGGTCAGCTGGCCACCCCTCTCTCCAGCCGGGGTCCTCTGCCTTGGCCCCCAGTTGGCTTCCTTGGGCATCTCTGTTGGCAGCCCCCGACCCTGCCCCAAGTCTGCTCACACTTCCTCTCTCCCCTCTGGTGCCCAGCTGCCGCCTCCAGGAAGCCCTAACTGCCCCTGCCACCCCCATTCTTTGGGAGGGTCCTGTACAGAGTGGCGAGCCGGTCCCCAGAAGCCAGGGAGGGTTGAGGAAGTGAGGCCATAGTCCCTGGGAGGCCCTGAGATGTCATGCCCCCTGACCCCCGGGCTCTGGCCGCCCTTTCTCCCCATCTGTTCCCCCTGTGGGTCTCTCTCCATGCATCTCTGTCTTCTTTTTGTCTCTGCGTCTCTGTCTTTGAACCTCTGCTCGTCTTCCTGTTGGTGTCTCTCTCCATCTGCACCGCCTCTCACTCAGCCTCCTTGGGTTTCCGTCTGTCCCTCTCTGTCACTCTGTCTCTCTCCGTGTCTGACCCGCTGGGACACGATTTTCGTTTTTTTTTTGCGGGGGGCGGGGACACGCTTTTAACAGGCGCTCAGACACCGTCCACGGCCCGCCCCCAGCCCCCACCCCGTGATCTGCGCCCCTTTCCCACAGCTCTGAGCGATTTCTCGAGCTTCAAAGGCCCATTAATTACTCTAATGAGGTCAGGAGAGACCCGGCGCTCTGCCATCCGGAGGCGGGAACACACCGCGTGCCCCCGCAGCCCCGCGCCTCCTGCCCGCCCCCCTCGGGTTGGGGGGGAGCCCCGCCCGCTTCCCGGCCCCTGCACCTGTCAGCGCCGTCCGCGCGCGCACCGCGCCCCCGGCGTTAGTGCCGAGTAATTGGCAGCCCCCGCCAAGGTTAATGCACTATTAGCGGGAAGTTCTCGGCGGCTGAGAGCCGGGAGAGGGGCCTGTCAGCGCGAGATGAAAGGCCCCCGGGCCCCGATGGCTGGAGGGCCGCGTGTGCGTGTGCTTGCCGGCTCGGGAGGCCTTCCAGCACCTTCTCCGCACTCACACACGGGCACAGGCATGACACGGCTGCGAAGACAGGCGACACGGCCGCCAGGCGTGCGGGACGGACACAGGGCACAAGCCCACACACGCGCGCACACACGGGTGTCGCCCGCAGCGGGTCCCAAGCCCGCGCCGGGTGAGGGTGCGCAGACCAACAGCCCGGCGCCCTCGAGGCCGCTCCCACCACCTCCGTCCCCCAGCCCCCACCCTGGGAGTGCCCACTGGACACGCAGCAAAGCAGCCCCCTCGGCCCGGGGGCCACGTTGGGGTCTCTGGCTCCAGGGAGGCTCACTGTGCGGCTAGACGGCCCCGCCCCCAACCTCGGTTCTCCGTCTGAGGACTGGGGCCGGGAGGGGGCGGGGAAGCTGGTCAAGGCCAGGCGTCTTCCCTGTATGGGGGAGCCCCTCTGCTGGTTCTGACGTGCTCTCCCTCGGACGTGGCCCCCGCTCCCCTGGGGTCAGCAGACGAGGGAGCTGTACCCTTCCTGGGGTTCCCAGGACCCCTTCCCTGATCCCCCATCCTACCCGGGGGCTCAGCCCCACCCCCGTCTCCTCTCTGCGCTGTCTGAGCCGCCACGTCCCTTCTCCACGCAGGCCTTGATGTCCTAGTCCCGGACAAGAGTGGCGGTCCAGGTGCCCACTCGGGCACGGCTCTGCCCAGAGCTGTGCCACAAGTATGGTGACCATGACTAGCTATTTATATCCACGTTAATTAAACGTAGGTGAAGTCTAAAGTCCTGTTCCTTAATCGCACTGACCACATTTCATGTGCCCAGTAGCTATGTGGAGCCGCTGGTGGTGCCTGTGTTGGACTTGTCCATCCTTGTGGGAAGTTCTTTTGGACAGTGGTGGTCTAGCCCCCCAGACTGTCAGGTGACCACTGGGAGGACGGGGTCTGTGTCCAGGGCCCTGGGG